GTCAAGCCAAGACCTTCATTCCATCCAAGACCTCACTGGGTCAAGCCAAGACCTCGTTGGGTCAAACCAAGAACTTCATTCCATCCAAGACCTCGTTGGGTCAAGCCAAGACCTCGTTGGGTCAAGTCAAAACCTCTTTGGGTCAAGCCAAGACTTTGGGTCAAACCAAGACCTTCATTCCATCCAAGACCCGCTTGGGTCAAACCAAGCCCTCCTTGAATCCCCCCAAACCGTTGAGTCAAACCAAGACCTCATCGGGCGACCCCAACCCGTGAAGTTCTGACCCCCCCCCAACCCCCGGGGGGCGTTTTTGGTGTCCCCCCGCTCACGTGCGCGAGGAACAGCATCATCTCGGCCTCGGCCAGGCGCCGCCCGATGCACTGGCGCGCGCCGAAGCCGAAGGCCAAGGCCTTGAAGGTGGTGTCGTCCTTGCCGAGCCAGCGCCAGGGGTCGTAGCGCTCGGGGTGCGGGAAGACGTCGGGGCAGCGCCCCATGGCGTACAGAGCCACCTGGCACAGCGTCTGGGGGGGGGGGACAGTGATGGGAAACACCCCGGGACCCCCCCATGAGACCCCCAGCGAGACTCCCGGGATCCTGCCCGAGACCCCCTCGGGACCCCCTTTGGGAAACCCCCCCCAAGACCCCCCATGAGACCCCCCCTGAGACCCCCCTGGGACCTTCTCGGGACCCCCTTTGGGAAACCCCCCCCAAGACCCCCCATGAGACCCCCCCTGAGACCCCCCTGGGACCTTCTCGGGACCCCCTTTGGGAAACCCCCCCCAAGACCCCCCATGAGACCCCCCCTGAGACCCCCCTGGGACCTTCTCGGGACCCCCTTTGGGAAACCCCCCCCAAGACCCCCCATGAGACCCCCCCTGAGACCCCCCTGGGACCTTCTCGGGACCCCCTTTGGGAAACCCCCCCCAAGACCCCCCATGAGACCCCCCCTGAGACCCCCCTGGGACCTTCTCGGGACCCCCTTTGGGAAACCCCCCCCAAGACCCCCCATGAGACCCCCCCTGAGACCCCCCTGGGACCTTCTCGGGACCCCCTTTGGGAAACCCCCCCCAA